ACAGTTCAGTTAATTGGACTAAATGCGGCCAACAATCGCAATGAAAACCAAATTATGACCAATAAGATTGATTACCTGACACGAACCTCAAATTCAGTTTCCCACCGGTAATTTGACGGCATTCGACTCGTAAATACGATCGTTCCTACGGGACCTGAAGGCAGCATGTGAATACAGTATGAATGAATGTTGTTTTTTTTACTGAGAGGCACATACTACAGTAATGTCTAGGCTAAAACACATGAATCTGTACATTTTTATTCGTCTTACTTTTTTACTTTTACATTTTCATCAAGTACAAAGTTAAAATGCCTTTTGTTAATATATTCATAAAAGAGTAAAATAATAGTGCTTTTTCAAGACTACACAACATAAAAACAGTCATTGTCAAGACCAAGTCACTTCTCAACGATATAGTTTCACATCATTCTTTTCTAGATTATCATTTAAGAATAATGTATAGCACCTTTTTGAAACAACCCTCCTCACTGTCTCTCTGCTTCGAAATATTATTCCTAAAATAACCTCACGCAAGACCCCCGCCTTCTTTAAAGCTGACAACTGGTCGGCTCACGAACGGACCACCTGTCAATCATCTTTCCCACACAGGTTCATAAATAGAAAAGAATTCTCTGGTCATTGCATTTATTGGACACGGCCATCTCTGACTCACAGCTCCACCCCTTTATTATAACAGCCATGCAAATAATCACACACTAGCCAATAATCACGGCAGATTTACTCTAAAAGAATTCAAAAACACCCAGCACACAAAATGTAATACATTTCTAAGAAAAAAAGAGGCAAACTTATCTATGTACAATTCATTTACCACTGAAGTCTCGACTAATAACAATCAAACCTCACGTTGCGTTACTAGATTCACCAGCCTTCACCAAACCAACACAAACAGACTCTAAGGCTACGAGCGGTTCGACCCAGCACAGTGCCACGAAGATCCTGCTAAAGGAGTTGGATCCTACCAAGCGAACCTTTAAAGGAGAACATCCTGCATTTTAGATGTTCGCTTTCAACGTCTTGAACTCTTAAAACTCTCACACTTGTTAAGTTTGGTTTGATTAAATCGAACCCTGGTGTGATTGCTCTGTTAGTGCACTTCATTTGAATAAGTGTGAACGCTGGTGCGCATCAAACAAGCGGGCCGAGACGCTGAAAAGATGGGACTCGATCCGCTTCCAAACGAACTCTGGTGCGGTTCGACTGAAATATGAACACAACACGGACCAAAGACATGTAAACGAACCAAAAACTGGACATAATGTCACAAGATGCGACCCTAAAAAGGACAGATTGCTCAAGCATGCCTGTTTTTACTCGTCATAGTCGCGATGTTGTCCATCACAGTTCAGTACAGACACCAGAACCGCGTCTCCTCGCAGCAGATCTTGGTTTGTGTGTGTGACGGAGGGATTCCTGACGCTGTTTTGACTCCTTTACACATTTTATAAGCTCTCCACGTCAAAATACCATCATATGTAGATAGAACGAGCGCATTTATCCCAGAACACCGCATTGTTTTGGATGTTCGGTAAGTTCGCAAAATACACGTCATAAAATACGTCTTTTTGTTTCGAGTCTTTAATTCGGTTTTAAAAATGACATTGACATGTGAACATACATCATTTTCTCTTTTGGACCAAAAGAACCAAGAGAACCGAACTACAAGTGTGAACACACGCTAAATGATATTGGAGCAAAATATGTCCGAAAATAGTTTAAAGGGGGTTGGGATGAAATTTGTCTTCAAAACCCAACAAAAGACATCATGCCATTTTCCATGACATGGAAATGCTTGCTGGAGAGAGTTTTCATAATAGCCTTTTTGGCAACTAAAATTGTCTGCGTACTAGACACTTATTCTCTCAAGTTACGACAAAAATGGACTGAAATAAAGTGTTTTGAATCACATTTGCCCAAAGTGAATTATCATTCTCATCAAACAACAATCCAGTAACTTCAAACGTCTAAATGGCAGGATGTTTTCCTTTAAGATCGGTTTCTGAGCATGAGCTCAAGCAGAAGTTTACTATAACCTGTGGGCCATAAGCATATTTCAACATCAACTGTGATATAACCATTCAGGTTTGAATCTGAATTTAAACTGCAAAAAAAGAAAACGGTCTTTCAGGTAATGAGTTGGTTGACTTGCTTTCAACATGTCAGCCAAAAGTTCAAAGAAATGAGCAACCCTCAAATAACAAGTAGTCTAATGTGCTAGTTTGATTAGAGAAACCAAAAAAAGTTTCCTTTCCGGGTTGAAATGTGATCTGTATAAACTCTACCCTCCAGCGAGGGCCAATGTAATTCATCAAATTCGTACAAAAATCCTCGGTTTCGAAGCACATCTCTGTGAGCACCAGAGTCCTGTTTACTTCAGGTCTGAAACAGGATTATAAAACAGCACACGTTGTAGAGTTGTACAGTAATCCAGTTTGCACGTAATCCAAGTGTGAACTCTCCGATTGCACCAGAATAGGACTCTGGATTCTGGGAGCACCATGTGACCAGCTTTTATGACATCACACAGATGGGCCACTTTCCCAGAATCCCGAGCAAGGAGCACTGAAAGTATCAGACTATACGGTAGAAACACTATGCTAGTCAGCCTGTAGATTAGCATGTGGGCTGATCCGTTCGCAGTTCAGCGCGTTCACACCGCAGGAGCCTGATTCACAATTCTTTGTTCATTCATTTTGTCAGTATTTGAAATCCTAAATGTTTAAATTACAATTTCAATCCAATTTGGCCTCAGACTTTAAGAAATTCAAAAGATATTGAATTATTGTAATATTGTAAATATTACAATTTCCTTTTTAACATTTTAAATATAGTAGAATTTACAAAACATTTTAATTTATGGCAATTTAAATTAAGCGTGCAACTACACTACCATTCAAAAGTTTTGAGGGAAGTCAGGCTTCATTTATTTGATCAAAAAGACTAATATTGTGAAATATTATTACAATTTAAAAGAACTGTTTTCTATTCGAATATGTTTTAAAATGTAAGTGATTCCTGAATTTTCAGCATCATTACTCCAGTCTTCAGTCACATGACCCTTCAGAAATTATTTTAATATGCTGATTTGCTGCTCAAGAAACATTTCTGATTATGCTGAGTGGTGCTGCTTCATATTTTTGTGGAAACCGTGATGCATTTTTTTTTCTCCAGAATTTCCTTGATGAATAGAACGTTCAAAAGAACAGCATTTATTTGAAATAGAATCTTTTGTAACATTATAAACGTCTTTACTGTCACTATTCACCTATTGAATGCATCCTTGCTGAATAAAAGTATTAATTTACTTTAAAAAAAAACGTATGACCCCAAACTTTTGAACAGTAGTGTTTGTTAAAAATTGCATGAGCCAGTCTGTTCACACTGAAATCACAGTGCAATAAATTAAAATCCCACATAAGAAAGTGTCTCAGTTGGAAGATGAAAATGTCATTTTTACTCACACAACCTTCAAAACACACGCAACTTGCGGTGTGAACGTGGCCGAGCTGAACCGGGAGCAGAACGCAAGTCAGGAGAGAGTGAGAACGAAGCACCATGAAGCTGCACCATGGAGTTCCTGCACCCAAACACATGCAGGAGCTAAAACTACACAACATCCCTGATACCTGAACACACACACACACACACACACACTGGACACAGTAAGAGTGGCGGTGTCTGGACACGTGCTGAGTGACAACGGCAAGATCTGGCAGAATCGGATGCAAATAAGTCCATGCGGAAGTTCAGCTTCTGTTTGCTGGAGGAATATTGCATCAGACACAACAGAAAAAATAGTAAATAAACTTCTCTCACAAAGGAGTACAAAACTGACATCTTTACTCACCCTCGTGTCATTTCAAACCTGTACGACTTTCTCTCTTCGGTGAGGGTGAGTAATATCATTTTGAACTATCCTTCTACATTAATGTGTCTGAGTGTTTAACAGCTCTCCGCATGTGTGTGTGTGATGTGACGGCTCTCTCACTGTATGTGCCCTATAGGCTCCAGCAGAAAGGCATCATACGGGACTGTGTGCTGCGTTTGTATTGCTGAGAGAGAGACAGGGAGACACACACAGAGAGAGAGAGAGCACCATATTCGAGTTAGTGGAGTTGTGTGTGAATAGTTACTGTAGTTAAGTAGTACCATATTAAGAGCGTAACCTGTAAACAGTGTATTGTTGATTCTTCAAGCACATCTTCTCTCTCACAGGAAAAGTGTGTTTATGCATGAAAATGATGTTTGTGTAGATGTTACATGTGTCCTAACCAGGCCTGATATGATAAAGCGTCAAGTGATAATTTTAATATGACACTTTGTCCAAACGAGCTGTGTTTCGCCTGATTTCTACACATGTACTGGTAGAAATAATAGGCATCACTGCTTGATCAATCTCATGTAAATATGTCTGAGGTAAAATTTCGTCCAAAAATCAAAAAACAAAAATTTCATTTAATTTTCATATCCCCCTAAAATCTGGATGTTAATACAATAATAAAATTATTATTATTCTCAATGGTGACTCTCATTAGTGAATAACTTAAAAAATGCTTTATATATATATATATATATATATTTTTTTTTAAATATATATATATATATTGAATTACAATATATGTGGGGAAATTCTTTTGGAAATAATGGATAAAAATAAAAAAAGACATTTATATATAATAAAATTTGAGAGGAGGGAGGGAGGTGTTTAATTGTCATAAAAATCATGATGCAGTATATCATTTCTATTTTTTTCTTTTTGATATTGGGGTGAAACGTGACCTGCACATATTTTCCGTGAGATATATAAAACATCAAATATGTTTAACTGCAGTGAGGACAGAACAATGACTCGACGTTTGAAAGTTGCCACATCTTTCCTAGTTAGTTCACGCTGCAACATCAGATTAGGGGTCGGAGAACAGGACTCTCAAGCATTCAGAGAGCGTCTGCTTGTTTCACACTAGTTAACCAGCGGTTTGTGCTCTAGATTTTCACGCTCGGACAAACATACACTTGCAAACTCACTCACATTTTGTCTCTGTCAGTTGTGTGAGAGAGAAAGAGTTGTCACAGTTGGAACATGACAAAAAAAAATTAAACGACGGACAATAAAATACAATAAAATCTGGAGTTATGTTTTCAAATAAATACGTGTGGCTGTCTAGTGGGTTGAATATTAATCTTAGGATAGCACCAGCCATTCACAGGCCACGAGCAAACATGAAGAACACAAGAAGGTGGAGCTTATTGGAAAGGAAAGGAAGAAGAGAGACGTCACGACGCCATCATGACGTGTGGTGGGCGGAGCTACAGAAACAGGCAAAGTATTCCTTCAGCGGAGCGAAGAGGTGGCGAATCACAGGCACGCTCCATGACCTTCCCAGAAGCCTTTGCCTGGCGAGACGACTCATGTTGGACACGTCAGTGTAATGGACAGGGAAGCCGAACACTCTGAAATGCACAAAGCAGTGGATTTGACCCACAAATTAAGCCTATTTTTAGGACTATTAACTTTTTTTGTATTGTGACATTTTTATGACTTTTAATTATATATTACTTCATAATATTAAGTAATTAGATAATTATATTACTATTTTAGGGCAATTAAGCACATTTTTGCATTATTATTATGCCAGATTGAATATTTTATATTAATTGTATTATTAAATTATTAAAATTACTAAAATTATTAATTTAAAATAATTAGTTTTATTTCTCATTTAAAAAAGTATAATAGAGTTGTTTTTTACCGGATTATTGTAATATTTACATATTTGTTTTATCATTAACAACAACAAAAAAGAAAGTACACCAATGCTAAAATTATTTACGAATATTTTATAAATGTAAAGTTTTTTTCAGGATTCTTTGATAAATAGAATGTTCAAAAGAAACATTTATTTGAAACTGAAATCTTTTGTAACATTATAAATGTCTTTACTTTTAATCTATCTAATGTGTCCTTGCTGAAGAAAGTTATTTCTTTAAAAAAAAAAATCATATTGATGTAAATATGTACAGTGACACAAGACTTCATTTTTTTATTACTATTATTATTACTACCTCATTATTATATTACTAATTATTTAAATGATTAAATCTACTAAAATAATAAAAATTTAAAATGAAAATTCCACATTATTATCAATGATGAAGTTATACAGTATTTTTTTTTTTAGTATTGTCAAAAAAATGTGTTTTATTATTATTAACTTCAACAAATAAAAAAACAGTACTTTTTAAGTATTGTAAGTATTCTACAATTAATAAGGATGGATATGCGAATTTAGGAAAAGTCTGCATCATGAAAATAATGTCACGCTGTAAAAAAAACTCCTAATTGAAATATGATTTAGTTTATACTTTGTTTTTTCCCTTTCGACTTTGGGATGAAATAATATTGGAAGCACAGGTCATGTGACGGCCCTCACCTCTCCATCTCTGTGCACCACAGGATATCCTCTTTATTGTTCATATAGACGGGGTAGTGCTGGTCTTTTCCTTGTTTTATTGAGTTGGAACGGGTCGTGATGGTTCGCACTTTGCTGAACTGAAAAACAAAGCCAGTACAAGACTAAATCACTTCCCTGTTGGCCACCCAAACCTAGTGTCACGTAACTGTCATGGGCCGAGAACAACCCACTCACAGGCGGAGAGAATGTCTGATTGACATGGACAATAACCAATCACTGTCTGCTTTGTGTTTATGCGACGTTTAGGGGCGTCAATCTGAAACATGTGTGCCTTAAACAAGCCCTCCATGTGAAATCATGTCTAGATACAGTCAATAATATGATGATTTGTATAGTTACAAACTATCCTGAACAATTCATATTGAAATCATGATCGTTTCATGTATAATAATCATAATCACACCGTGTTTGTTCGTTGGCCAGAGGAGAACTGTCCCTCCGACCGAGCCTGGTTTCTCCCAAGGTTTTGTCTCCATTCTGTCACCTGATGGGAGTTTGGGTTCCTTGCCACTGTCGCCTCTGGCTTGCTTAGTTGGGGACACTTAATATTCAACAATATTATTGATCTGACTGTACTGACGCTGCTGTATGAGAACTGAACTGAGCTGGACGATGACATCTCTGCTTTCTGCATAACTGCTTTATTAATTGAATAATTGATGATCTTCAAAATGAAACTGAAGCAACACTGAACAATGACACTATTATCTTCTAGAGATGCTGTCCAACTCGGCTGTTTCCTGTCATCACTGTAAAGCTGCTTTGAAACACTCTCTATTGTATAAAGCGCTATATAAATAAAGGTTGACTTGGCTATATTAAAACAAACAAACTGAGCACACACACCTTAGCCATGCGTCCATGTTCCAGACAGTCTTGCAGGTCGAGTTTATCATTTACCATTGCAGTCAGTGGCCTGAAAGAGAGAGAAAGTTTGTTCTGATATTCTTTTTCATTGAAACACTACCAATAACAGCTAATCTCACTCATATTGTAGATTGTACCGGTTCATTCCAGGTAAGTTTCCCCAGAAGTATCGAGCTCTGTGTGCGGCCGACACCTCCTTAGCGTCGATCATTACTGGATTACACTGGAAGAACAGAGATATATATATTTTATATGAGGAATTTCAGAAAAGTACATTCAAAATGACTCTGTCAATGAGTTTCATTAAACAGTTTTCGCAGGCCTTCAATATGTTTTTGAAATACGTCTCTTCACAAATACACTAAAAATAGTGAAATATTATTACAATTTAAAATAACTGGCTTCAATGTGAATATATTTAAAAATTTAATTTATTCCTGAATTTTCAGCATCATTACTCCAGTCTTCAGTGTCACATGATCCTTCAGAAATCATTCTAATATGATGATTTGCTGCTCGAGAAACATTTCTGATTATTATCAATGTTGAAAATATATATATACTGTGACTCCAAAATGCATTTGGATACTTGCCTAAATGTCAAAAAAAAAAAAATTAACATGACATTTTAATTTAAATAAAGATTGATTTAAAAACAATTTTGTTAACCGACACAAATTAATACATCATTTAAAAATAAATAATCATATTCTAGTCACATGATCATGAAAACAATTGATTTAAAAACACTTTTGTCAATAGGAAATAAAATAGTTATCAATATTAGTTGCCTGAATGAAACTGCATTAGATACAATTGTAGGTTCCCCATTAAATTAAGTGTCTTTAAACTAACATTTAAATTAACTGTTCGATACAATGCACTTATATTGTACACACGTTTTTACATTGTACTCGTATTTTAAAAATCCCTGCATGTGATTAAAGAATTTCTGTAATTACATGTATAATCAGACTGTTGAATCTCCCTTTCCCATCATCAAACCTGTCCCCCACATCCCACTTCAATACAAATAAGTCAGTTACAATAGATTACAAACAATAGATTCATGTTGAAAATTAAGATTAAAAAGTATTTACTAGTACTTTGTGTTCATCAAACGTGAAATTCAGACATTTTTCATTGTCCAAATCCATTTTGTGCTTACTGTACATAAAGACTGTAACATGCACACCCACAAGAGGGCAGCGCTGATGAATAGCACACATGATTTACTTTAGGCATGAATGTATGTATGTGTGTGTGTGTGTGTGTGTGTGTGTGTGTGTGTGTAAACACACCTCCAGAAAGCGCGAAATGTCTCTTTTGTCACTGACTCCCATGGCAACGACATTTTCAAACAGCCAGAAGAACGGTCGGTCGTCTCCGTTTTTGGGTCGCGCTTCGTGAAGCAGCCGGTAGAACTCAAAAAACAGACGCCCAGTGCCCTCTGCACAACACACACACAGACAAACACTTACTACAACACAAATGCATCAATACACACTTAGAGCTGCACGATTCTGGATAAACTGAGAATCACACTTTTTTTTTTTTAAATACAGATCACGGTTCACCCAGGATTCTCAATAGACAACTAAACAAAACATAATTTACTAGAGGTTCTGACAAAATGTTAATTTCTGCAGTCTATTGGAAAAAAAAATTGAATTAATTTGAATTTTTTAAACAGAATTTATTGGTTTAAGTGAATCATTCAATGACTCACCCATAAATACTTCACTTGTTTCATTACTGGATGAATCAGCATTTTGAATCGATCTCTTGAATGATTCAATGACGAATCTATTTTTTAACAGTCACTTGTCTCCACCTACTGGTGTTACGATGTAATTGATACAATCTTTATTTGCAGCATCAAGTTGCTTTCAAAAAAGCCACCTTTTGAAAGCAACTTCAAATATAGATTGTATCATTACATCGTGACACCAGTAGGTGGAGACAAGTGACTGTTAAAAAATAGATTTGATTTGATTTAATCGCTGGCGTAAACATCAGTGTTTATGACCGAACTATAACCTTTTATCCTACTTCTGTGATCATTTGAATTATTGTAAGACAGAAATAATGATACTATGTGGTTGAAAAGAGCGTTTGTGAAGCGGTTTCATACCTATAAATGCTCAAACGCAGATTTGAATGTTTGCTGTGATCATACTTGTCAAAGGTTTAATAGACATAGCCAAATCATTATCATTTAGGAAGAAGATCGATGGTCGTTTGAATCTTTTAAAGATTAATAGTGCAGCTCTAATACACAAACACACACACAAATATTGTGGTTTTGATGCAGGAAATGGATCTCAAACTGGGTGTCGTACCGAACAGGCCTTTCCTGGCAGGGTTGACGATGGACAGATCGTTACAGGGGCTTCCACCGATCACAAGATCAAAAGGTCCCCACTCCTGAATCTACAGAGACAGGCGATGGCAAACAGAGAGGGACATCAGAAGTGCGTCCAGGAGAAAAGAGTGCGAGACAGAGAGAAACACACATGCTCACATTCTTGCGTGTGACGTTCCTGACATCGCCCACATATGTGATGTGTCCATGGTGTCGCACAATCCCCACCGTGATGGAGTCTTCACACACCTCTGACGCCACATACCGCTCCACATGAATACCCAGATCCTTCAGCACCTGCAGCCCTGACAGCAAAAACACACATACCGTATTCACACTAACACGTGTGTTTGATTCAACGGATAGCTCACTGAAAATAAAAAAAATAAAAAATCTGTGCAATGTTGTTATATTTTAATTGTTGTGAATTGACTTTAAATGTCACTTTCTATTTACATAGATGACTCAAAACATTTATTTATTTATTTATTTATGTCAGTTAATTTTAGGTTCTAGTAGTTTTAGTTTTCATTTTTATGTTTAGTTAACACTTAAAGGGATAGTTCGCCCCAAAAATAATCATTATTTACTCGTTCCAAACCTGTAAGACTTTCGTTCATCTTCAGAACACAATCTTTTTGATGAAATCCAAGAGCTTTCTGTCCCTCCATTGACAGCTACACAACTACCACTTTGACGCTTCAAAAATTCATAAAGCGATAGTAAAACTAATCCATATGAATTGAGAGGTTCATTTAAAATTTTCTGAAGAGACTCGATCGCTTTATATGATGAACAGATTTCATTTAGGCTTGTATTCACATATAAACATTCATCAGCTCACACATCAGCTGTGGTAAACGAAAGCTCAAGCATGTTCGCGTGAACGAAAGTCTTAAGGCCTGTTCACACCAGGACGAATTTCGTGCGCGATATTCACAGACGTTTAACGCCTCGTGACTAAACAAAGGGCGCCAATGTGAGTGTGCACACCGACGCGAAAAACGGCACGCATAAAAGCATAATTTTTTTTTAAACGCCTCGGGTTCGTTTTTTTGGTTTGATGCGCTGCGTCAAAAACTATCCGACCAATGAGATTGGCGCTTTTGCTCACGTGTCTGGAGCTTCTGAAGTTACAGTAAAACACAACTTGGGGGCGCTCAAACACAAAACGGTCTTGCTGAACACACATACGTAACGGCGAAGAAGATATACGCCAAGTAGCGTCTACACTGCCGGGAAGAAATAAGACGAGGAAGATGCAAGGCAAGATGAATGTAGAGCTGCTGGTCTCGTTGGTGTCGGAACATAAAGAACTATATGACAAGCGCGACAGCGACTACAAAATAGGACTATTTCTGTTTTACATTAAGCGCCATCTAATGTCAGGGAATGAATTTACATGTTCACTCGGCTCATCGTCAGCGAAAATCGCTTGGGTGTGAACACAAAAAACGCTTTGAAAAACGCTTACGAATAACGCGCGCCGATATTCGTCCCGGTGTGTACGGCCCTTTACAGGTTTGGAACAACATGAGAAAGAGTAAATGATGACAGAACATTCATCTTTGGGTGAACTATCCCTTTAAGGTCTTCAGGTGTGATCTCACCTGTAGCGATGCCATCGAACAAAGAGAGCACTCTGATTGGCTGCCTCTTCTCTGCCGCTACTGGAGAATACAACCTCGTTGGTTCCTGAGAGGGGAGAGATGAACAGATTGAGCTTTTTTGAACTTTCGCTAGTTATTTTAAAGTTATTTAAAAGACACTCTGTAGTCAATAATATTATACATTTGAATGAATGAAGAGAACAAAACTTGAACTAAAATTAGCTGAATAATGACATCATCGTCTTATGTAGAATTAGTTTCATATTTGATTAATTTTGGTAACAGCAACACAGAATTGACTTGAGCTGAATAATGACACTACTGTCTTTTTACAGCAGAATTTGAATTTGTCTCATATCTGATAATGTTTGCATCATTGATTCTGATATTTTCCTGTTTATCAAAGTTGCCAAACTGCTCCAAACTAGCTGAACTCACGAAGTCCTGGTCGTGGTTGTTGGCGAAGAACATCTGCAGTCGTTTGGTCCAGTCGTCTCTGCGCCTCAGAAGCCCGGACACGTTCCTGCTGCAACACATGTAGCAGTTCCAGGGGTCTTCACGGATAGCGGCCTGTGCCGCACCGGCCCCGACCAGCAGATCCACACACTCCACACAGAAACACCTACACACACAAAATTGATTCACACAGATCTCTCTCAGGCGGTCTACATGAACCCAGATACATTTGAAAACACACGTTTCTCTACGTTTTAAACTTTCTTCCACACTGAGACGGCATTTTTGTCCAGCGAGATTATTGAAGATGGAAACTTCTGTTTCATGCCGTCTTTAAAGCCGACTTTTGGGTTAAAAAGTATCCAAAATACATATTTGAGAAAATACATAACCAGCCAGTGTTCATAACTCTCTGCTTGCCGTAGCTCGATTCAAAGCGGTAAGCTTGTAATAATGTTTTTAATTCCAGTGGTACTGGTGGATTTCCGCGGGAGATTCGAGCATGTCTTTTGATTCATTACGTCACATCTGTACACACACATCTGTACACATAAAGAAGAGTCTCGGCTAGTCGGTTATATTGAGTGTGAGGATGTTGGAGGTGGAGATTTAAAGCCTTTTCTCACAGCACTTGATATAATTAAACTTATCAATTTGATGGCGGATCCAGAAAGGTTCAAACGACAATCACCAGTGACAACTGGAGATTCACCCGCTGTAAAATGCAAAAGACTTCGTTCGGACTTCAGAGTGGCGACAGAAAAAAAGAGACTGCAACCGGACCCATGCGAAAACAAGGATAATATCGGAAGGGCATTACATGTAGTCACGCAATGCTGACGTTGTTAACATTAACAAGTTGAGAACAAAGTATAATTTGCACGGTTTTGCGTGATATGATAAACGATTGTTAGATTTAATCAGCACGATTTACTGCAAGGTCAGAACCAGAGCAAAAGTGGATGTTTCTTACTAGTTCAGATGACATTTTCCGGTGAAAATTATTATGTTGGTCATACTTCCAAAAATAATAATCTGTGATTCTGAATGCCAGTATCCACACCGGCGCGGTGACTGACAGCCGCACACTCTCCTCAAACATTGTGTTCATCCGCGCTGTGCCGTGTCGAGGGTGTTGAACTACAACTTACGTAAAGTCGATAATTCCGCGAATGACTGCAATTGCAGATTTCGAACAGAGATGGCGACAAAGAGGAAAAACTGCAGACTGCAGCTTTAACGCTAGTGTGGATATAGAGCGCTTTAAAATATCTCCAGATTAATGTGGACAGAGCAGAAGATCCCTAAAAAAGCCACACATACACACCTGCAGCAGTTGTTGTTCCCGCACATGAGGACTTCTCTTCCTCCACAGCAGATGGTGCAGTACGACTGATAACCGTCATCGTCGTACTGATACGCACACTCCAGGAAACAATTCTGCAGGGGAACAGAAAGCCACCTCAGAACCAATCCGAAGTCAGAATGGGCTTGATTGACAGGTGGAAATGTGTGCATGTGTACCTTGCAGCTCTGGCACATGGCTCCAATAAACAGAGGATGTTCAAGAGATACGTTCTGACTTCCACAGGAAATACAGATATCTGCACACAAAAAAGACTCCATGATGATGTTTGGAATAGCACGTTACTGTACTATATTATTTATGCTGTATGCATACTATGCACATTTTGTCCTATAGAGAGCCTAAGCCCCTCCCCTCCGCTTCCGGCTCATGGGACCTTATTTCGGAAAAAATATGTATGGTAGTCAATGGCGAGAGTCAACATATCTTTTTATTCCGTCTGAACTGTGCCCTGAATCACACATATGACGTTTGTCAATTTAAAAGATAATTCTGAAAGTCAAGAAAGTCGCAGTTTGTCATAAAACAGAAGAGTAGCATTTAGTTTTATGTGAAAATCGCTCAATGAACTACATCTCCCAGGAAGCGAAACAACGAGCAAGATCCGCTGCTCGTGTGTGTGCAGTCTGGTACAAAACACTCAGGCATGACGGCGTAACGTTACGATTATAACGTAAGACTATAGAAAAAATGACAGACGTTAGCTTCAGTAAAGTTAGCTTCATTCATTGAGAGAAAATGTGCGCCTTTGGGGTTTGTAGTCTTTGTAATTACGTATTTTCACAGTCTTATACCTCAACAGTTTTACATCAAACTGCGACTTTCTTGACTTTAAAATGTATCTTTTAGATTGACAAACATCATGTGTGTTATTCAGGGCACAATTCAAACGAGATCAAAATATTTGTTGTCTCTCGCCATTGACTACCATACAATATTTTTTCCGAAATAAGGTCCCATGGTGGTCGACCGGAAGGGGAGGGACTTAGGCTCTCTATGACACTGTGACCTACTTCAATTGCCAATATATATATATATATATATATATTGTATCCCACAATGCAATGTGCTCAACTTGACTTTCTGTTTCTAATGTGATAAATGAACCAGAAGTAATATCAATCAGGATTTCTTTCCTGACTAACTTCCACAAGTTAAGATATTTTATTACATTTCTTAACTTTTGGAAATACATATCGAGGGCTTGGAGCCAGAGGGGCGTAAGTGGCTTTTGACAAACTTTACAGGAGAGACAAAACAAAATTTTGACCACACTTCGATCACCTGTATCATTAACCTTAAACCACAAAGATTGCAACCACAGGCATACTTACATGAATGAGTATTTAAGTAAAAAATGTATGGCATATTAACACAATGAACATGTTCTAAAACATTTTAAAATAAAAAAATATGTCAAAAACGTCAGATACGCCTTTTTGGCACCAAACATTTCCAAGTCTTCTATGGACACAGTGGGTGTATCTACTGAACAATGCAGAAAATAATTGATCAAAAGGGGAATTGATTGAATAATTAACACTTGAATCACACTTGAACAAGTAATTATTTTTCATTTAACTCATTCATTATTATTATTATTTTTTTATTATTATTTTTCACCTTCCCATTCTGGGCATCTGCTGAACACTACAGAATGTAATTAAAGTCACTGAACTTGCTAAACACACTTCTGATTGGCAATTCATGAGTTGTTCAATTGATTTCATTACAATTCTTTTTTTTTCAATACTCTATTCAATTGACAGTTCTCTCGTGTTCTTTTTGCTTTTTAGTTCTTTTCCCTCACCTTCCTTCCTGGAACATGAATGCCATGTGAATTAATGTAGCCTTGGCCAGAATTTCTTAACCTTTTACGTTGGTTTCTTTTCCAATTTTCAACATCTCTCTGTCTTTTTCTTCCTTTTTGTGGTGTGTTGGCATCCTCTTCCTGGCCACTTTCAACCCCTCCCTCCTAAACAGGCTCAATGTCTACTGTCTCAGTCCCTCGATCTTCTTCTGTCTCCATGTGGCCCTCATCAATTGCATGATCTGTGTCCCTGCCTGTCTCTCTTTCCCCATCTTCTGCTGTCTCCATGTGTCCCTCATCTCTCTCCCTCATCTCATGCTGTGTCCCTAAATTATATAATTCATATTTATTAATATCCTACATGAATGCCCTGATACTAATAATTCAGGGTAAGGATTAGATAAGGTAATGTTCTAACTTATTTTCTATGCAAGTCAGAACTCACTTCCTCCATCTGTCTCCATGTGTCCCTCAAGTTGATCTCTCTTCCTCACCTCATGTGGCTGTGTCCCTTAATGATTAACACATTAATATTTATTAATATAATATCCTACATGAGTGCCCTGAATCTATTAGTTCAAGGCTAGGGTAAAGTAGATTATGAGAAAGTTCAAAAGAATATTCTCTGTCAGAACACAGGCACAGTTAGCCAGATCAGACCAAACCAATGGGATTAACATTAGCCATGCTAGGCTAGGCTAACAAGGTAAGGCTCTCAAGGCATGATTATGTCTTACTGTCATCACTCTTGTGAGGAAATGCATTCAAACAACTCTGACTCATCTTCAACTTCTTCAATATACACTCACCTAAAGGATTATTAGGAACACCATCCTAATACTGTGTTTGACCCCCTTTCGCCTTCAGAACTGCCTTAATTCTACGTGGCATTGATTCAACAAGGTGCTGAAAGCATTCTTTAGAAATGTTGGCCCATATTGATAGGATAGCATCTTGCAGTTGATGGAGATTTGAGGGATGCACATCCAGGGCACGAAGCTCCCGTTCCACCACATCCCAAAGATGCTCTATTGGAGATCTGGTGACTGTGGGGGCCATTTTAGTACAGTGAACTCATTGTCATGTTCAAGAAACCAATTTGAAATGATTCGAGCTTTGTGACATGGTGCATTATCCTGCTGGAAGTAGCCATCAGAGGATGGGTACATGGTGGCCATAAAGGGATGGACATGGTCAGAAACAATGCTCAGGTAGGCCGTGGCATTTAAACGATGCCCAATTGGCACTAAGGGGCCTAAAGTGTGCCAAGAAAACATCCCCCACACCATTACACCACCACCACCAGCCTGCACAGTGGTAACAAGGCATGATGGATCCATGTTCTCATTCTGTTTACGCCAAATTCTGACTCTACCATCTGAATGTCTCAACAGAAATCGAGACTCATCAGACCAGGCAACATTTTTCCAGTCTTCAACTGTCCAATTTTGGTGAGATCTTGCAAATTGTAGCCTCTTTTTCCTATTTGTAGTGGAGATGAGTGGTACCCGGTGGGGTCTTCTGCTGTTGTAGCCCATCCGCCTCAAGGTTGTGCGTGTTGTGGCTTCACAAATGCTTTGCTGCATACCTCGGTTGTAACAAGTGGTTATTTCAGTCAAAGTTGCTCTTCTATCAGCTTGAATCAGTCGGCCCATTCTCCTCTGACCTCTAGCATCAACAAGGCATTTTCGCCCACAGGACTGCCGCATACTGGATGTTTTTCCCTTTTCACACCATTCTTTGTTAACCCTAGAAATGGTTGTGCGTGAAAATCCCAGTAACTGAGCAGATTGTGAAATACTCAGACCGGCCCGTCTGGCACCAACAACCATGCCACGCTCAAAATTGCTTAAATCGCCTTTCTTTCCCATTCTGACATTCAGTTTGGAGTTCAGGAGATTGTCTTGACCAGGACCACACCCCTAAATGCATTGAAGCAACTGCCATGTAATTGGTTGATTAGATAATTGCATTAATGAGAAATTGAACAGGTGTTCCTAATAATCCTTTAGGTGAGTGTAGGATTCATCAGTTTGTTTCATAATATTCATCAAAATCGTTTCTGCCTCAGACAGTTCCATGTCTGCAGTTGTGTCAGCCATTTTGAATGCAGTTTTAGGGCACCAACTACACTTACGCCCTTCTGGCTCTGAACAAAAATGTGGGTCCTACATGTATTTTTCAGAGCCAGAAGGGCGTAAGTGGACTTACGCCCTTCTGGCTCCAAACATTACTTACACTTTTGTGTTAGGTCTGTATTGTTTTGTTGCTTTATTCAATACAGTTTGATCTCAGATAGGTCTTTTTGGCACAACTAGATAGAGCTCATCAAGACCTTTAATTTGATATATAGAACTCATTTTCGCCCAAAATGCCACTTACGCCCCTCTGGTTCCAAGCCCTCGATATATTCACACACTCATGCATATACTTGTAATGGTAATATTGACCACTAGAATTGAAAAGATTATAATGTCCGCAACACTGCTACTTACTCCCATATTTTAATAAAAAAGGCAACGTTTGCCAGAAGGTGGGATGTGCACACAACAACTTGTTTAAAAATATTGACCACTAGCCCTTGTGTATTCCCGAAAGGAGGTTCGTGGAGTCAAAATGCAGTTCTAATGTCCTAATACTGGTGGTTTACAACATACTCATGAATATGCATAAGTACGTACTTCTAGCAGGGAAAATTATTTTGATGTAGAAGCAAAGTATTGATGATGCCCAAATCTATGCTAAACAGTGTCACTAAACTGGATGTTATGTTTCAGGTCAGTTTTGTTTAAAAAGAGCAAACGTCCAGGGGTCAAAGGTCACACTCACCTTCGATATTGCGACACTTCTGCCTGACTTCATACACGAGTCTCTCTGAGGAAAACAAAACATGCGTTAACAATCGCTATGAAATGTGAAGACAGTTTGCTTTGGCACATGTGTGTGTTTGTGATACCTCGGGTTCCTTCATCTATAATCTCTTTGATTTTGGGTTTCTCAACACTGTTCTTCCTGGGTTTCTTGGCAGGGGGCGGAGCTGTGTACGCAGCAGCCTCAGGCTCCACCCACATCTCTGGATACACCTCAGTGTAAGGGTTCCGCTCCGCTAGAGCACACACACACACACACACACATACACACGATTACACACAGAAATGCAATGTCTCTAATATCTCAATTGTTTCTATAAGATAGAAATTAAAAGTGTTTTGCTTCTCAGATGTTTGTACTGATAATAAGTCCCTGGTAATTCAGAAGAGCTATCAAAAATATTCTTTGAGCAATACAATAAATGATACATTTAATTAATCAAAATAAAATGTAAATAAAATTGAAGTAATATTTTTTTACATAAAAAAAAAAATATATATATATATATATATAACAAAATATAATAAATAATAAAATAATTTAATTAAAATAAAATAAACATCAGTAATATGACAAAAACACAATAATAAATCTAAATAAAATAAATATCATTAATTAAAATAAAACATAATAAATAATATGACAAAAAAATAGGGATGGGACGATTACCGGTTTCACGATAAACCACGATAAAATGTCCTGGCGGTTAGTATTATCGTTTAAAATTTAATTATCATAAAAACCGTGTTTTTAACCACAGAAATAATTTCAGGGACATGAAATATTGAATTGTGATTAACTTAATGTTTTTAAATCTTGCCGGTTTATAAATCCATTATACAAGTTACAGTGTCCAAATCAATCGTAAAGTAAATGTGATCACTACAACAATATTGTAGTAGTATTAATACTAAATTACTCTGATTTAATTTTCAATACAATCAAAACTGAGACGCAAGACATACACATTTGAATGAAACCAGAGATTGCGTCCACGGTGATCCGAGACATGGATGTGCGCTGTGTAGTGCTTTGCTATTTACAACAGTCATTATAAGTATTCCAGTAGTTTAGTCACCCTGACCCAACCAATATATTTTGTTCATTTAAAGTGTGTGTGCGTGCGTGCGTGTGAGTGTGTGTGAGAGAGAGAAAGCGATTTATTATTTATTAATAATAATAATAATATTCAGTCATACACACATCCATAAGTGTTATTATCATTATTAATGATAGGGTTTAATGACGGGTTCATTAAAACCTGCACTAGGAAAACTTATACCTCTCACTCTCAGGGCTCCATGTTAATGTTAATATAATGTTGATGCTTAAAAAAGTGCATATAGCTGCTAGCCTGCTAATTGTATTTTTTGTTTGTTGATTTTCAAATGTTTTCAGGGTGAGCATCAGTTCTTTTTGAACATTTCCATCTCATTTTAACAAAACCGTGATAATATTGATAATCGTGATAACTTTGGTCACTATAATCGTGATATTAAATTTTCATACCGTCCCATCCCTACAAAAAAACAATAATAGTTTAATCAAAATAAAATAAATATCATTAATATTATGAAAATAAAACATATACAATAAATACAATAAAATTAGGACTGTTAACGCATGCTTTTAATTTAAAATCCTTAACGCGTTAAAATAATTTAATCAAATAAATGACTGAAGCATGTAGAATTGCGTGATTAATGTCATTTATATCACACAGTTAGATTAGATTAGTTTAAAGATAAAGATAAATGGTGTATGCTTAACTCCAGCGTGATTAATTGCAATACATTTTTTTTTATCTATTGACAGCCCTAAATAAAATGTAATAAATAATAAAAAACAATAATACCTTTATAAAAATTAAATAAATGCCATTAATTAAAAAAAATCAAAATAAAGATTATAATAAATTACATTATATTGATATGTATAACTTATATAATAATACTTGTGGTAGTAATAAAAGGGGTGGGAATTGGCAAAAATGACAATTCAATTGTATTGCGATATTTGGGCCACGATTCAATATTATTGCGATTCTTAACATATTGCGATACACCAAATATTGTGATTCGATTCTGCAATATATTGCGATTCATGTCCCCCATATATTATTCAAAGGCATTACAAAAAATTCGGAAAATAAGACCGCTCAACTCACTTCAAATGTCACATTATTTAAACACAATAGACGAGTATCATAAAGCAGACATAATAGAGTAACATAAATCTGAGAATAATCATATAAATAAGAATAACTTGTAAATGTAAATTATCAAGAGTAAGCTCCGAGAAAACCAATGGAGAAAACCCGAAAGTAAAACAGATCATTTTATAATTAAACATTGCAATACTTTGCGCTATTGTATGGATATAATTGCGTGTGCAAAATATCACGATACTGAACAGAATCGATTTTTTCCCCCACCACTAATAAATAATAAACTATAAATAAGTGAAATCAGCTGGTACCAGGTGGCGGCTCCAGGCCTTTGGCACCGGAGGGGAGGAACCCAGCACTGGCCCATTCAATCATCTGCCGAGTCATCAGCTCTACACTCTTCCCCGAGTCCGAGTCGTCCGTGGACACACACGCAGGGAACGGTTTACCTGCACGCGTACTCGCCGTCTGTCCAGATCCACACACAAACAGCATGAGAAAACACACACATGCTGGTCTATACGCCTATTTACACCCATGAAAACTACATGTGTAAGATATAGTTTAGTCAAAGACATTATCAGTAAGTAAACCAGGGCAATAACACACATGATGGAGAAATATCATGTTTGTTTCTGAATGGCTTGCCTGTAAAACTTCATAGATGGCTTTTCTGTACATGGGCTGTTTGTTGTAGGTGGGCTGATGATAAGATGTGCAAAACGTACTCAAGGGCAACAGCTTTTCCACACACACCTGAGAGAGGGAGGGATGTTCACTGTAATGTCTGTTATCAGCACTCATGAAGGATCCTGATTGGGCGACTGACTCACCACTGAGAATTTACCATCCCCAAACCACATGACCCAGCGGGTTCCTTCAGCGGCCCGACTGCGACTCGTCATCCACCACGACACGATCCGGCCGGGCCACCAGGAGAATCCCCGTAACTTTCCCCAGATGAGCTCTCCGATCCCGAAGCCACGGCCGTCCTGAGAAACATCAGCTTCAGCTTAACCTCACATACCAAAGGTCATGTATAACTCAACAACAAATGGTCGCTGAAAAAACCTTCAAAAATGCTAATCATCAAAATCAGGAGGTCAAACTAAATTTTATGTGAGCTGTTTTATTTCACGTGAGGTTTGCAATTTATTCCAGTAATTATTTATACAGTTTTCTGTGATGAATTGCAATATTGTTTTATTTAATATTAATTTACTAATAATTTGTTTTTAATATGATCAGTTTTAAAATGTATCATAAAATTAATAATATATTATTTAATATTGTTATCCAATTAATGATACAATTTGAATTTATATACATTTGAATTTATAATCACAATAAATATATTTAGGGATTGAATCCACAAATTAATGTAATGTAATATAGAATTAATGAAGCACATTTTAATGGGAATATTTCATAAGTAACATTCCCAATGCTTTTGACCCATTCAAGTATAAGTATGAAATGATAATAAATATGATTTTCTTGTGATTATTATTATTAAATAAAAAATTATTCTGTAATAATACTATTGTACTTTTTGTTAATTTATACAAATCATAATAAATATATTTAAGCATTAAGTCCTCAAACAAATATAGTTTTATTTTAAAGTATATTTTAAGTAATATTTGCAACTTTTTCATAAGCCACATTCCCACTGTTTTTGACCCATTCAATATGACTATAAAATAATAATAAATACTATTTTTATTGTGATTACTATTAAATAATTTTTTTTACTAGTTTCAGTTTTACTAGTTTAATTTTAATAATTTGCAATAATACTAAATATTAAAGAAAATAAGATATGATCTGTAATAATAATTAGTGCTAATTTATTTATATTGATATGTATAACTTATATAATAATAGTTGTAGTAGTAATTATTAATTATAATGATAAAAAATAAATAATAATAAACTAATATTATTAAATAAAAATATGAAATAAAGGAAAAAATAATATGTAATAATAATATTGCTTCAATCATAATAAGCATTAAGTCCTCAAACAAATGCAGAATCAACATAAATGAAGTATACTTTAAATAATATTTGTTTAATGGCAACTTTTTCATAAGCCACAATCCCAGTGTTTTTGACCCATTCAATATGACTATAAATATGACTCTTTATTTTATTAGGATTACTATTAAATAAAAATATTATTAATTAAGAAATATTTTGCAATAATACTAAATATTAAAGAAAATAATATATAATCTGTAATAATAATATTGTACTGTTTGTTTATTCATATCAATCACAATAAATTCTCAAATGAACGTAGAAACAACATAAATTATATTAATAGCATAATTTTAACCAAAACTTGAGATGCAAAAATTATCCTGATAAATGCATGTAAAACATTTGCGTTAAAAGTGAACGAAAAACCTTTAATTGTTTTTTTAAAGTCAGTCAACACCAGTCTGTAAACTACCAATGAAGAGTGACTCTTATTATTAAGAGTGATGGTTCAGCACAGATATTCACCTCGTACTCCAGATCCATCTCTGAGGATCTCGCCATCACCTTGTTGCCGCAGGCGACAGGAGGCGGCTCAGGCGTCATGGCAACCGTTGGGGAGGCGGGGTCAGTGTGCTGCTGCTGAGGTGTGGGTGTGGATGGGAGGTTGATGACTGGCTCCTCCTCCTCCTTCTGAGAACTCACTGTTGATTGGTCGTCCATCGTGTCACTCATGGTGGTCACCGGGTGGGTCTTCTCCTCCTTAAAGACACGGAAACAACAAACACATGCGGTCAAAACAAGCTGAAATACAGAAACAAAGGATTTTTACTCATATTGCTTGCAAATGAAAAGCAGACACGTTTTTATGTAAACTTCTTTTGCCAGCCAGGCAACACACTAGATTGTATGTGTGTGTGTGTGTGTGTTTCGGTAAATATTGATTTGAAATCACTGTGGAAATGTAGCCTACAGGTTTTTACTGTCATGTGAGGACAAACTCTCAGCTAACAGGAGACAAGATGTCTCTCTGTGTGTATCAGACTCCAGAATCACTGGCATCCTGGAAATAAATGCTTGTTTACATGGACTGTAGAAATCCAACCGTTTAGACAGTTCCTAGAACCGCTTCATTTACACTTCAATTCACATGCATGATGATTCTGAGTAAATATGCATCTTCATAATCTTTGTTTCTATAGTCTTTTATTGCAAAACCATGTCGAGTTACACTGCCATTCAAAAGTTTCGGTCAGTCAAATGTAATGTTTTTTAAAGTAGTCTTCTGCTCACCAAGGCTGCATTATTAAAAATACAGTAAAAACAGTAATATTGTGGAATATTTTCTCTTTTAATATATTTTAAAAATGTAATTTATTCCTGTGATCAAAGCTGAATTTTCAGCATCATTCCTCCAGTCTTCAGTGTCACATGATCCTTTACAAAAGACTAGTTGTGCTAGCGCATTTAGAGTTGTAAGGCTGGTGCCGGTATGTCTGATCGACCCCTCAATGTGACAAAAGGCCCTCCGGGGAATTAACACTTGAACTATCCCTTGAATATGTAACTCCCTCTTGCATATGTAACAGGAACTTTGGAGAAGCAGCACGCAGTGCAGTTCACACTTCACCCACACTGTCTTCCCCACATCCCCCTCCTCCTCACCTGAAATACACTGAAACCTTATGCAATGTTATGTGTGTACAAAAATGTAACTACTCATGTTTGGTGTCTTTTGATGTATCACAATGCGCCTGGTGACATGGTCTCATTCCCCCAACTATGATGAAAGGCTAAAAGAAGTTATGAAATGTGAGAAAAGTGATGTGTCCCATAATAGCCTCATTCAGACTACCTCCTGTATGTAAAATCAGGCAGACCTCACAGTGTGAGCCCCTGAATAAACAACCAAGATCTAATTATAATGACAGACATCACCATTTGGTAACAATTGAATTATCTGGGTTTATAAGGAAAAGCAGCAGAAATGTTCGGGGAGTCTGTAGGTTGACTGCCCACACAACCGCTGTGTGTAATTTTGTTGACAGGTAACAATTTCTACAAATTCTGTGATTTCTGAATTGATATGCTTAACTGATGATTTTATCCTCTGAATTGGATTTGAAATGATTACATCATTACCTGATCAATAAATTGTAAACGTTTGATTTTATTCTAACCGACTCTGAGAATTGTTTTTCCCCGAGTAGATTATCGGATTCGTATATTTCCACAAGTTTGCGTCAGAGTTTAGTGACGACTAATATCTGATATCAGATTCAAGTGTACTTGAATGAGGAGACGGGTAGTTTCCGTCTAGAATCAGCTAATGCTGTTTGATCTAGATTTGGGTACGTCTAAATACCTCTGTTCTAATTTAATGTTACTTTAGATAAGTGCACGCTACTAAAGTAAATTATTGAATAAGTTCCTGAGGTGGCATTCAAGGGGGCTGTGTATATGTCTTCGATTTTGTACGTGTGAATTACGGCAAATCCCAGACATTCAGCCAATTACCTCTGTTTTGATAATCGGAAACTGACGAGATTGTGCCGGAGACCTGGTGAGGAACTCGAAGTGATATAGTTTCCTGATCGAGCGGATAAAATATAATCAGAGTTTAAAGAATAAACAAACCTTCGCTAACGTTTAATGATGCACGGATATCATTAAAACCTTTTCATTTATGGAGTCAGATAATAACGAGATAATACATGAGAAAATATATTGCATTTAATCTTGTTGTGTTGCGTGAAAGGAAAGGCAAGTAATACGCAGAGTAACCTTCTACCGCTGATTGGATGCCGAATTTGGACCAATCAAGCCGGACTTTACAGAGTGCATGCTTTCACTGCGTGATATAGTCTATTAAAATGCATTTAAAAAAGCCCTCAATATTCAAGATGAGGGAAAAATAACTCACATTTTCACACTAATAATAATTTCACACAAAGAGTGCCATTTATTCTCAAAATATCAGCATGATTACAAATGTGATATAGATCCTTTCAGGCATATTAGAAACTGGGTTTGGAAGGAGGCACACGGACTCTAATCTTCCTGAGGATGTCAACAAGATTCCCGTGACGTCGAAAACAACATTACAGATCCAGCACCACTGACTCAGGAAAGGAAAATTACAAATGAGATCAATAACGGTTCCCACTAGCCATTTTTCATTGTTAACCCATTAAAACCGGATCACACATCTGTGTGTGTTTACCTTTAAGACCGGATCGCGCATCTGTGCGTAGTCACCATTAAGCCCGGCAAACGCGTCTGCATCATTTTGAGCGGTGTCGGCTTTTTACTCCATGTTTTTATCTGCTATAGAGCCTGAGAAATTAAGATTTTAGTAGGCTTGGACAAATTTTGACAAATATTTCTGGAAACCCTAAGGTTTTGGGAGGGGGTTTACAGAAAAGTACTTTTTTAGGCCTAAATTAGATGTTAAATTACTTTCTCCTATCCCGAATAAATTACTTTAAGTAAACCATTTATATGTAAGTTTCCCTGAACAGTCTATTCAAAACATTGCTCCGTCCGTTTGAGCACCCTGACAAAACCTCGCAGAACTTTTCGCAGTTTCGTTCTCGATGCTTAGGCTTCTTTTGTAACTACTGTATGTGAGAGTGAAACTTTGATTCCTTTGAGCAGCTGTTGGTTCCTCTGGTGTGAACTTTTGCAGGAAGGTCATAAGCGCCTCATTTGACCTTTAACCCCGCTAAACGGCCAACCACAGAGCAGCTAATCGCACAGAGACAGAGACACTAAATACAGAAGGACAGGCCTGTTTGACGGGTCAATGGAGACACATTAACTCTACAGAAAGTGGAGTCCAACAGTTTTTTCCTCGTGAGGGATGGAAGCAGAAGATGAACCTGGTATAAACATCCATCTCAGGTGCTCAGCGTGAAAGAAAGCTTTAAACATCATGCATATAGTTTGGCGATCTAATCAGAAAAATAAATAATCCTCACATATGCAAAAGTGTGTGATGTTGTTCTCATCGGTACTCTCTTGTGAGATGTGTGTGTAGTCTGGAAGTGCTGCTGATTACAGAATTATAATTAGCTTTACAAATTCAAGTTCAAGAACATGAACACACACACACACACACACACACACACTAGGTCAAACCCTAGTGAGCGGCCTTGCTTTTTTTTTTTGGAAAGAAATAGAATACTTTTATTCTGCAAAGAATGCATTAAATTGATCACAGATGAAAAAAATAACATTTATAATGTTGCAAAAAATTTATCAGAGAATATTGATAATAGGAAGAAACATTTCTTGAGGATCAAATCATCATATTAGAAGGATTTCTGAAGGATCATGTGACACTAAAAAGACTGGAGTAATGATGCTGAAAATTCAGCTTTGATCACAGCAATAAATCAGTTTACTACATATTCAAATTGAAAACAGTTCTTTCAAATCGTAATATTTCACAATGTTCACTGTATTTTTGATCAAATAAACGCAGGTTTGGTGAGCAGAAGAAACAGTTTTTTGTAGTGTATTCAAATCAGATTATAAATATTTTACTTCTCTGTCACAAATCATTCACCTTAAAAACAATAGCTGGAAGTTTTGGTACACTAAACAAAACAGGTGACATCTTTATCAAGAAGACGATTTGCTCTTTTAACGATTGCTACAGCCGTCATGAGGATTATGATTTCTCTCTTTCATTTTTATGCGATTGTTCTGTCTCCTCCTCATGTCTCTGTTACAAGAGAGTTTGATGTTAGCATGCTGGAAACATGACACATAATTATGATGCACAAACACAAATATTGGGTAAAATAACCTTTTTTTTTATTCGAGTTTTTCACAGAGCAATGCATTCTGGGATCGCTTAACTCGTGATAAATATATGCGATGCTGACAGGGGTGGAGCTAGACTCTCAGTACAGTGGGGGCGGAGCTTCATCATGGGGCCCTCTGCTACCAAGTCATTTTAAAATTAAAACCGTAAAGAAAAAAGGAAAATATCTGATGAATGCATATGTAATAATGTGTCACTTGTTGAGCCAAGTAAGCTTATATGTTAAATAAAACACAAAGGCTATCTCGTTCTTTTCAGAGAACAGTCTGTTTTCTTTCGTTTTGAATTGTTCTGTAAAAGTACACATTTCGAGCTTTCTATAGATATATTTCTCATGTGTGTGAGGCAAGTAGGCCTACTCTGTGTTTCGGTTCATTTATGACTCACAAGACGAGCTCCAGTTCACGCGCCGGCACCTCCGTGTCGTGATTATCTATTGTCTGCTATATTTACTTCTTATTTATTAAATCCAGGCAATTGGTTGATGAAACATTGATTAAAATGAAGGTACAATTAATACAAAACGAAATTCGCCTTAATGAATGGCTTTATACTTTATGTTTGATGTCTCTGGGAAAGTTTTAAAGCAGTCTTTCAGTGCCACTTTCAGAGCGCTCACGTCCGTAACGTGGAACTGTCTCGTAACATTGTTTTTCCCTCATAAATGCGAACACGAAAAATAAGACAAAAGGAATATTTTGTTCTGTGGAGAGCCAGCCCTTCTTCATCCGGTGGGTATTACTTTTTGTACTTTTGCCACCTAAAAGTTAAAGTTTTTTTGTATCACGTCCGTGTATTTCCCTCATATTAAATATAAAACGCATGTGTAGACTGATATTTTTCTAATGTCTGGAGTCTGGACAGACGTTTCAATATATTGGTATTAAATGCATTTTCTGAGAATTTACATTTCCAGTTTTTTACCAAATGT